TTTATTTTAATTAAAAATCTGTCTTGACGACTGCTTTGCCGGCTTTTATAGATTTTTGAGATATTTCTTAAATGAAATGCTTTTGTTTTGTATTATTTGTATTTGTATAATAATACAGAATTTTTTTAAGAATATGTACTTAACTAGAAATTCATATCAATATTTTATTTAGTTAGAATGTTGGGTCGTCATATTGGAAAAGCTACTATGGACAGAGGGAGTCATTAGACTTTATAAATTACGGATAGAATACATTAAAAGATTTCAGGGCTATCTCCATGGCAGATAAGACGGTGGTGTTTGCGATGGTACGGGCATGTGAAGAGACGGGATGAATATAACTCTGTAAAAACTGCCATACCTATCCCGGACTTAAAAAGGGTAGAAGAAGATCACAGGCCACTTGGTGGATAACCGTTACCTAAGATATGGTACGGGCAAATTTAGACATAGGGATAAACCAAGATTGTATAACTTGGTGCCGAAATATGAGGAGGGCTGACCCCAAATTACCAGAGTAGCCTAGGTTTCATAGTAGTATTTTAGTTCTCGATGAATTAGTTTTACAATTTTTCTTATATTCTTAATATGAGAATGACTTTTAAACTTGGAATTTAGATTGTAAATTGCCAAGAAGGTTTACGTAGCAGGTCATCAACAGTATTATAAGTTTTAATAATAAGCTACATGTTCGTTTTTATTTACTGGCAATCTTGATTGCCGTTAAGATACAATTTAAAAATAAAAATGTCTATTTTGATTAGACATTTTTTTATATCATGATATTTAAAAATAAAAATGAATTCGAATGGTAATCAAAGTTACAATGAGTCATTGATGCTGGCGATACTGATAATTCTTGGTAAAATGTTCATAAGCAAAATGGGCCCGACAGATGGCACTGAAATACCATCGCTAACAAGTCTATTAACATTCCATCGTTTAGTGTTAATATGGTCATTCGCTTCAGTATTAATTAATGGATGTTTTTAAATAAACAAGCAAAAGGTCGACACCGGCGTGTCACGTCTACTTAGGTATATGTTATTATAATTATGGACAGTTCACTTATTAGTCTTGTGGGCAATTTAAAAATCTCGATGTAATAAATTCCCTGTTGGCCCTGTTGTTGATCTCTGTCAGAATCATATAATCGACTACCCTGCAGTATCACGATTATGATTTGTTTATCTGTTTATGTTATATAATAGAATAAGAAATAATTATAAAATTACTTTATTATAACAAACTCAATACCAAATGACTGAAATAAGATAAATAAAATCAACTAGAATATGTCTTAGTTCAGAAAGTAAAGAATAATGTAATTTAGGATCATTAGAGTTGGGTTTTAGCAATTTAGCCGCACCTTACATGTCCAAACAGCAACAAATCTCGCAATCACTATCAACTATATCTTTTACACACTGACACGGAGTATCCTTAAGAGTTGGTAGACGTAACATTGGCAACCTCTGATTTAGTGAATTTAATAGGTAAACGGGTAGTGCATCTTGCAGATATTTGACAGTGTAAGTACCTAAATATTTGTAGCTTATAGAGAAATAACTAAAAAACTCTACAGTCTCAATTACCTCCATCTTGGCTGAAAGTATTTCATTTTCATGTATTTTCCTAAAACAGTATTAACATGAATATATCAGTAAGGACAGGAGGTTTATTATTATTCACAACTTGTATATTAATTACTGAATTGTACCAACCAGAGGTTTCCAGTTCATGATGTATGTCTGATATATATGTATAAACAGGCGGTAGAATACTAAATTAATTTATTCGTATAATAATGGAGCTTATCAAAATACAAGTAAACATATTTTTTTTACTAGAAACGACGTTATCGATTTAAGGCCGACGAGGCTCACATCCTGATTGTACAGAATTATAATGACATTCTTAAACTTGAAACCGTTAATATTTAAACACACAGAAACTAAATTAAACACTAAATCCCCTAGCTTCATTCTATGAACCGTAATTCCTTTCATATTTATAATAATACATAATATTTAGAAGCACTGAGCTACAAAGATTTACTTGCTTGTCAGTATTTATTTCTTATTACTTTCTCTAATCACTGAAAATACCTTCACGCGGCACTGAAATAAATTGTTGCAATTCTAAGTAATTGTTTCCTTAGTCATGAGAAAAGACCACCATCATACATCAGACAGCGTTACGCAGAAACGTCGAGCTTATAGCTATTAAGAAAAACCTAAATATGGCTTAAGTTATGAGCTTGTAAAGGAGTTCCGATTCACTATATTGTAACAATATAGCGTTGAAGTCTGCGTCAAACACAGCGATGTCAACCTTAATTTAATTTTTTTGAAGTAAATTTTCAAAAAGAAGTAAAGGTAGACAGCAGCGGCTGTTTGGACGTTAATTTTTTTTATAGAATAGCACTTTTGATCACAATCTTTGAACAATATACACTTTGTCTATCTATAACTCGATTCACATGTTTTAATTCTTCCAAGGAAAGTTGATTCAGTAATTAAAAGATTCCTTTCCGAAAAGCAAAAAGTAAATAACACTTTTATTAATCTTGTAATTCTGTAAAAGAAGAGTTTTAGCTATCTTTCATCATCATATTTGTCTATCCTGCATATCGTATATATTAACTGTTGACGATAATAAGTCATACCGTTGCGACGCCTCAGCTACGATTCCGAAGACACTAATTTAAATATAAATCATTGATAGAAATAGATTTCTTACATTCTGTGTAATGTAAATTTATTTGTATAAACACTTTTTAATAACAGTCCTATTTATTCTCTCTTCAATTTACGTTAAGGTCCATTCATGGATGGGAAAAAACTAGGCATCAGATGAATCGCTTCTTAATACTCATTTTAAGATAAATAAACTATTAAAAATAGATAAAACTATATCATGTTACGTTGGGAAACTTGTTTCTATTTTAAAATTTGGTTGACATAATTTTAGAATAAGGAGTCAATTATGAAGTTTCTCACGTGATTATTGATGAAACAAATGTTGTTAATTACACAACAAACAAATTAAATAAACATAGGTACTACTGTAGACGGAAAACGAGATTCTTTTTGTTTTCTGTAACTATTTCAAACAAAATGGATAAAGTTGCAATTGCAAATGGAAGCATCGAGTCTCGCAATTTCTTCATATTACAGTTTTACAAAATATTTGAACAGCACTTAAATGATATTGTCTAGAAAGACTTTAGGAAAGAGTTTCTACGTATGAGTAGAGTTTATGATCGGGTAGTTATCTCGCAATCGTAAAAGATCTCTAAATCCAACAATAAAATTGTGGACGACATATAAATAGGGTTTGAAACTAAAGAAGCCAGGATAAGTGTGGCTCCAAGAGTAATAACAAAATGTACTCGTATTTGAACGGCGAAAAGATAAATAAAAATTTATGAAACATCCACAATTTTCTACTGGATGCAATAAATGATTTTCACCTATTGATGCAATAAAATTGGCAAACATTTCGATAAACTGCAGGAAATTCGTAACAATTTAGACTTCGGGTTTATATAATGCAACCAACGACCAAGTGATTACATTAATGGGCTGTTGATGAAAATTATAACGGTCCAGACGGCTACGTCAATTTTTTTTTTTTAATTGCTCCCACTTAGGGTATTTTTTTTTCTAAAACATAATCTTAATAAACGGTTTTTATTTTTAATTTTTTAAATAAATACTATCGAAATTTCCTATGAAATCATAAAAAAGTCATATCTTGAAAACTACAAAACATCGCGGAATATACGTGGGGGGGGTTTTCGGGGACCCTAGGTGGAGCAATTAAAAAAAAATTTACGTAGCCGTCTCGACCACGCTGTCTTTAATCGATAAAAAAGTGAAAGTAAATAAAAAAAGTATACAAAAAAGTTATTCTATCAATAATAAATTAAATATTAATTTGTTATATACAAATATTTTCATTATTGACAACACGATTTTCATTGTTCGATTTGATTCCGTCTGAAGGGAAGTCCAGTAACCCAATATGCTGAAATTAAACCTGTATAATTAATGTTGTTCTTCAATAATGATCTATATAAAGAATATGATAAAACTAAGATGCAATATTAATAAACTCGACTTTCTGTTCAATACACTATAATTATAGCTAAATTCAAGTGGTGGAAAAATACCGATCCAATAATGATCTCGTTATAAGCTACTTAGTCTCATATTTCAAGTGTCATTTTTCAAAACGAAAACACAATGAAAGGTTTATTTTGCCAAAGTCACGGTTACTCTACACCCAAAGGCGAATCGCGGATCAAAGGTTAGTGCAGAACGTGTGAATCGAGTTATAGACAGAAAAAGAGTAAGGATGGGATTTGATGATTTACTAAAAAAAAAATCAATAGATGTTAAAGCTGATGGTGTCTATCTATATTCACATATAAATTTTGGAGGTTCCGAAGCAGTTCTAAATAGGTATAGTATATTTTGTTGCTGTAAATATATTTCTTAAGCCATTTTTGCCCGACATTACTTAAGAAGTTCTTCCTTTACTTTTGTATTTTTCAAATAGTAAATACTTATTTTTATTAATCCGACAAAAAGATTATGTAGCGTTTATTTACTTTAACCGTGCTTAATATTAAAAAAAAATCGTTATAAACTGTGTTCACATAAAAAGTTCAATTGATCCGAATAAAATCAAAAAGAAACAAAAATAAAAAATAAATATATTAACTCGTAAAAATGGTGATTCGGTAAAATTAGGGGAATTTCTGTTTAACTGAGAGATTCCAGGCAAGCAAGTGGAAGTCCTTGGTTATGAACGACAACGTGACGTTAAATATTTATGCGGTATTGATGTCAACTCAAATGCGGGGCAGCTTTTTATTATTATCTAGAAGTAGATGAGACCACTTGGCACTTGATATAGTAAAACGAGTTCGTAACAGACATAAAATTTTTTCGATAAAAAGTATTAAAAAATAATAAACGTATTAAACCGAGATGGACGGTGAGTTGATTGGAGTTATGTTCTTTCATCTTATTATCTGTTTTTTTTTAATATAAATGAATTACGTACGTATCTTTCACAAGTCATCAAATGTTAGTTATATTACAAAATATAATATCTAGATGCGCATTTGTACACATCACTAGCCGTAAATGTCAGAGCCTTTGAAGCGACCATTAAGCCCGTGTTCCATATTAACGGCCGGACAATACACAATGTGACTTTCTTGACGTCTCGTTTTCGATGATTTCTCAAAATTCTTTTCAAATGAGATTTCAAAAATAATGAGGGCGTTCGTTTGTCGTGTGAGTTCTGGTGACAAAGCGTTCGCCCTTTGTTAAGTTAACCGTCAAATCTTTGGTACCACAGTGATAATTTTGCTTTCATGGCTAAATTTCTTTTACGGTACACGATTATTTATGTTTATCATAAAATAAACTAAACTATGAAACAAAAATTTTATTGTCTTTACCGCCAGAAAAAAGTACTCTCATTTATGATTAAATATATTTTTAGTGAATTATTGTTAGAACCCTTTTTAGAGCCAAAGCTCCAAATTTTATATGATAATTTTTCATTATTTTAAGTTTGTGAAAAAAGAATATCTATTTCATATTTGTTAGGTTAATAGATAATTTACAATTTGTAATAAGATTATTGTCATTTTTATTCGTATAATAATTTTATTTATTTATTTACAGATGTAATACAAGTATGGTCTGCGCCAAACAGCATGACGCGTTTGCCGTGCGATATAGCTGCGCCGTCGCGCAATGTTGCTATGATGCTGTGGTTCAAAGATGGCGACAGAATGCCCATATACACGTAAGTTTCACGAGTATTAACAGAATGTCGAACCCTAGTACGTGATGCCTTCTACGTTGATACTATAGTGCCGACTCATCTTCCACGAACATTTCTCGAGGCGGGTGTTACCGCCGCTACTGCAGAAACCCTCAAACGGCGAAAATATTCAGTTATATGTAATACCTGCATATTTAAGCCGTTTGAGGTCGAAATAAGGGGGCCCCTTAGTCCATCGTTTATACCAAAAGACAAAAAATAAACTTTTTGAAAAATCTGGCGATCAGAAAGCTGATTCAAAGAATTGTTTTGGCAATTCAAAGAGGAAATACTCACGAATTTCAGTCTTCTGGGTACCCGTTGACAATGATTTGAGGGACATTTTTTATCTAGTATAGCTTTAGTTATAGCATAGATAAGTAGTTTCATAATTTTAAAGTTGAAAAACTGTGTAATTTATGCAATAATTAGATAGCAACTTGTGCTCAGATCAAACCAACATCAATGTTTCTTTTCTTAATCTTAGTTACCGCATGTTTGCGGATATCAAATTTAATAGAAAATATGCGATGCAATTTAGCTGCGATTTGAGGCTAAGCTATTCACATATAGGTCCGCGTATCAGCTGCCCGTTGTCACCAACTGATTAAGCTATTCAGAGTGGGAACAAAAGGCTTATTAATGACGTCACGATGCCTTAGGCGTCCCACCGTCCGAGTTCCAATTCTCGGTGGAGCGAGTTGGCCAATTAAAAGCGCTGATTCGCATTTGGAGGTATTCCTTTGTCTATTTGTGAATCGGGTGTCGAAATTCGCTCGGTGAGTTATACGTGATTTTTGTTGTTCCGATGTTAAATAAACTCCCTTTTTATTGATTTTATTTTGAGAAAAATAAATAGTAAAAGTATCCAGAGAATTCTTATAAGGCAGATCCAAAGGAAGAAAAACGGGCCAAAAGTGATCCGGACACGCGTGCAGATTGTTTCACACAAATATTAAATTATAAAATTTTAATGACATGAACATGCAACATTCTATAATAAATTCATATAACAACTAGCAGTTTTCACGCGACTTCGCCCGTGTACATTATAGCCTATGACATCAAGGTATGATGAAGCTTCACGTAGATGAAATATTTTTTTTTAAATCGGTCCGGTATTTTCGGATTCTGTTCTATTAAACTTGTAATAATTAGAACAAAATTCTCATCTTTATCGAAAGTTTCAATATTTGTAACAATATTTCTTTCGGCTGTTTGGGTGGATGCCTGAACATTGATGAGAATACGCTCTGTAGTAGCGAAAAGTAACAAGTTCTAGAAATATTCGTTAGTCTTGTTAGGTCCTGGGTAGCTCAGCGGTCAGAGCAACCGCCCGGATAGCGAAAGGTCGTGGGTTCGATTCAGTCCATCTCAGGGTGCCAGGGACCAAGTGGATTTTTTAAGCATTTTGTATTAAGAATAATAAACAGAAACGCAATAAAACAAATAATGGAAAATTTACTCTTTATAACAGAATCATCATCATCACCAGCCTATTAATATCCCCACTGCTGGGGCACAGGCCTTCCCTATGGGTGGAATCGAATACGGAGAATTATTTAATCATCCATCCTATGACCGGCCCTTGCGAAAGTTGCCTAACAATAGTTTTTGTTTTATTTATTCGGTATACAAACAGAAGTACAATCACATCAATAAATAAATAAGTCATCACAAAACAATGCAGCATATCAAGTAGTACTTCTAATGACATGCGTACACAACATCATAAAAAAAAATCAAGGCAAACATTTTAATTTTGAGTGCGTTCAAAATTCATGCATAATCAAATATTTAAAAAAAAAAACATTAAAATAAATATTGGCTATAAAATAAATATGATTCAGCTTTAGTTCATAATTAAGTGAGTATAAAAAAAAAACTTCTGATCAATGAATAATAATAATTACACCAAAGAGATAATACAAAAAAAGAAAACAATGAATTAAACAACAAATTACAATATCTACCCCATTTTTAATTTACTTATTCAGATGCAGATTGATTACGCTAACCATGATGGCATCGAGCTCCTCGAGAATATAGAACGGATTTCTTGTTTCTGGTACTCCTAAAATATTTGCAACCTAATTCATAAGCTTTAACTTATAACAGACATTTAATTTGACTTGGCTAGTTACTTTATTTACTTTAACGTTAATTATATTTTCTTCACGTAAAATTGATTTGAATTGATTAAGATTTCATTTTGCTAGTGGACGGATTAATTTATGAACAAGATTTTAGTGTATTATCGTTTTTTAATAAGGTTTGGTGTAAATTAATTATGATAATGAGCCACAAGTTACTAGCCCGCGTTTCTGCAATTTATTTCAAAATTTATTTTTTATTATAACATTTTTTTGTAATCAATGTTACATTGATTACAAAAAAATATTTTTTGGTAGAAACTAGATGTGCTGTTGAATATACATGTAAAGTTATTTATAGAATAACAGACTAATTAAATCTATCTAGTGAAATTAAACATAGTAAATTCTGATTCCTCGATGTTTCTAGGAAATAATAAATGCTTGTTAGTGAAATTAAGGATAACTTAGTCATGGCCTATTTTTGCGTCCATGAGTCAATTACGTGTCTCAAATAACTAGCCTAATTATTTTTAAACTCAAAGAAAATATTGTTTACTCTTCCTTTCTATACAATAAATTTCTGCAAATTAAACGTCAATTTATATCCACCTCTATATAATATAAATTTGGAAGGAATTTCTCCAAATTACCTCTTGTGTTAAAACGAGATCTAGATTATACATTATTATAAATTTCATAAAGTTACTGTATTCATAGACTCTAAAATTTTATATCACTTTATTTTTTTCTTAAATTCTTTGCTGCCAATATGTTTAGCGTGTCCAAAATTGTAAAACTTATTTATTTTTATTACTAAGTTTATTTACTTTTAAAAGATACATTAGTATTTTAACCAACTTCAAAATCGAAGAGGAGGAGGTTATATGTTCGACGTGAATGTATGTTTTTTTATGCATGTTCGTCCGATTAAAAAAAATTTTTTTTTTTCGACAGATTTTTGGATCGAGTTAGTCCCATTTAAATTTTACCAAATAGTAGTGTTCATTTTATAACAAAACAAATACGGTTTCCAATGGATATCATCTAAATATTAAAATGATATATGACCCATTTTAGCTAAAAAATAAAAGATTTTGTATTTAGAATTCATTCAAAATTTGTTCAACGAGTATGTATATTTACTCTTTGGTGTATATTTTTTTATGAAAGCCATAGATAGTAGGTATCAATGAGTGAAGTATGTATGTTCATCGATTTCTTCTTGAACTGTGAATCAATTCCTATCAAATTAGCTGTTTCTCCGCGACTACGCCTGCGTAAATTATAATAGCCTATGCCCGCCGCGTATTATGTAGCTTCTCGTAGATAAAAACGTTTATAAATAGGTCAATAGTTTCGGAGCCTATCTAATACAAACAAACAAGCAATAAAATTTTTCCTCTTTAAAATATGAATATAGATTATTGGAAAAAATTACGTCGAGCAAATAAACAAAATCTCCTATTCTAAGACTTTCACTATGTTAAATATATCTAGTTGGATATTTGAGTGTTTTTTATTATATAAAAAATATCAATATCAGTAAAAAACATGAAATAAAAACTTTTCATAAAAGTTTTTTAAATTTTGAAGTAGGTTCTACTTTTGATAAAAAGTTTTTATCACTAATTCAATGGTAGAGAATATATTTTAGTTAAAAAAATTACTGATTTTCCTGTGTACTCATTTTCATAAATAGAAAAAATCAGTATTAGAACAAAACCCTGATATTGCTACGACTGAAATCTCATAATGTTTCCCCTAGCTAAGTCACAGTATAGAAATAGTTAGTATACGATATGATGCAGACTTTTCAAATATTTATTAATACTTGATATAACCGAAATATGATTAAAAAAGAAGACATATTTAATATTATTTGTTTTGGTATTTTTTAGTATGAAGGAGTTGGTTGTCGTTCTCATTGATATTCAGCTTGTTAAATGAATTTTGCAATATTAATTCACTCTCCTATGAAAGCGGCTAAAACTCTACAAGTCACCAATATGTGTTTTATCGAACGGATTTTTTATTCTATAATTGCTCAAATTGCGATATAAACATTAGCCGGTTCGTACGATATTGGGCGAGTACGAAGAATGACAGGTAGATTTCATTGTTAAAAGCGGTTTATAAAAGCGGTGTATAACGCAAGACGCACAGCGTTATGGTGGAGTTATAGTGGTGACGGTAGTTGACCAGTCGCGCCTTTTTTATTTAGGTGTTTCTTTATAATTGTTTGAAGAAATCGAATGTACCAATCATGATCTGAAGAAACTGTAGTGAATAAATCCACAAACTTACCATGCCTACCGTATTATAATTGTTTGATTCCAATAATTATGTATTGGTTACTAAACTAAACTTAATAAAAATAGAAAATTAATGAAAGTTAAGAGGTAACGATAATGAAATAGGTCAGAACCAGTTACTGGCTGTGTTTTTTTATACTTAACAAAATAGGATATATGTTATTCAGTTGCTACTATACTTCTATGTTTATCATATTATGACGCAGTACTATTTTAACAACAACAAGGAATTTAGATACTTAAATAATATTTTCAGGTTTATCAATAAAAAATATGAAAATATCAAGAAATATTGTACTCGACTATAAAAATGTTTTTTTTTCGTATCTTTCACTTTTCAGATCGATGTTTGAACACGGTCTTAAATATAACTCAAGAAAGAGTGAAATCATGGCGTTAAAGGCGCCTAAACCTAAACAGCCTCGTATTGTTCCATCAGTGAATATCGAGGGCGTAGTGCTGAAACTAGTTCATAGTTTTAAGTACCTAGGTTCGCCTGATTCATTTAAAGCGTTCTGTCAGTCTTTCTTTCGAGCGGCTTGTGGGTGTCATACGCACGCCGAGCCTTCAATGTCCTGGGAGTACAGTACAACGGCGCTTTCAGGATTCTGTTGCGGTTGCCTTTGCGTTTTAGTTGTAAAAGTCGGAACGGCATCCGGACAGCGATTGCTGAACGACCAGACTGCCTAAAATAAGACATTCAGTGGAGCTGACTTTAGGTTTAAGATGTTAATTGACTAACAACTTATCGACGAATGAAATAAAGTGTTATTATTATTATTTATCGTATTTCATATTTAAAAATTTAAATTGTCTTTATTTAATTATATAAACTACTGTCACAATTATGAATTCTGCATATTCGCTATACTGTGGCCTTGTTCCCTGAACCCGCATTATTTTCGTTTCTCCGTGCTTCATTTGTTTAATGGAAGAACATTCCGCTGATTGGAGGTCTCTGCAAATAGAACTATGAGGGTTCGCACAACTCTACTATTGAGTAAGATAGCTAAAGCTTCCCTAAGTATAGCAAAAGCATATGAAACACATAAAATCCTTCTTTGTAATATGGAGTCTAACCTAACACATCTTATGTATACATTTATAAAATGAGACTTTTTATTATACAGGAAAAAATTGTAGTTTCTGCATTGAATTTAATATTTTCTACGTTATAGTGAATCAAATTCACGTTTTTTTCTTTTTTACAGTCTGCTAACATTGCAGACTTATATAATAATTTTGACGTTGCCATCTGTTATATATCTACTTTACACGAAGGTTGATGATATTTTTTTGAAACATAAAAAACTTGTTATTTATATAATATAACTAGCTGACCCGACAGACTTCGTCCTGTCAAAAAGATTTGTAATGTGGCAGTTTTTTTGCCTACGTATTTAAAAAAATTCTCCTGAACAGAACCGTCACCCTGGTGATAGGGCGTTGTGAATAAAAAATAATTAAATAAAACATATATAAGGATTTAAAAGTAAGTAATCGCTTTATTGTTAATCATGTGAATCATAATTATTATTATTATCAGCATTTCTGGTTCTTCTACCTAAATTGCTTCGTCTTATAGGAGGCATATCAAATATAAATTATTTTTTCACTAATCACGAACTAAACAAACACTAACTAAGTAAACACTCTGCACAAAACACGATATACGAATTTGATTCGTGTATCAGTAGACAAAAGCAAACTCAGTAGATTAGGTCACAGACAACATTTTTTTTTTTAAATTTGATATGACTTGAAGTCAAATCCTTTTAAGCCGTACGAATTGTTTTATTGATTTAAAATTTGGATATTAAAAATAATAAAACACTGTTGGTAACGCGATTTTTGTTTGAGTGATGTAATTACGTGGAAACTGATGCATTTTATCTCGCGTGCCGAAACTAATACAAAAGAAACGCGAGTTTCGGAACGCGACATTAAACTCCTCCAACTATGTATTCTGTGCTCCAACGCACACACGCACATTGTTTTGATAGATATGATCTTTGACGTTAGGAACACACCTACATTGCTTAGACAACAGTGAGTGCTTGTAATTTAATATGAACTTTATACCATAGCAATAAAGCTCAAATTGACTACGTTTTAGTTACAAATCATTTGTATGGGAAAAAGAAAAGGGCTATTTTTAGGGTTTTTCCAGCAATAATTCTAATTTTTCTCGCCGTAAAAACCATCCTTGAACTTCAACGAACATTTTAAAAAAAGATTTGGCCAAATTGGTCGAGGCGTTGTTGAGTTATGCGCTTACCAACACATTTTGCGATTCATTTTTATATATATAGACTTAAATTATCAGACATAAAATATGAAGATTAAAGAAAATGAAATATTCATAAATAAGTTCTATTCACAATAATAAAATACCATTTACAATTTTGCTATATTTCAATAAAATGTCTTAGTTTTTTCACCAAAAGTGGTTATGAATGTGTCAAAAAAGTTATACAAGCTAAAACCAGTTTCAAAAGTTTTATATCATAAGAAAAATAATGACTAAATTAGCAAAATGATTTTCCGAATGAACTGTTTAATTTGATGCCCATATTATGACAGAGCTTAACTCAGCTAGACTACCATCTTAAGGGTCCTCTGCATTGTTTAATTATACGCATTTCTTTAACAAATCCTTTTATTTAATACCTATATCATGACAGTTTACTAAATTATAATAATATAATAACACCGCTTCCTTGCCCTTATTTTAGATTAAAATAACATAACTTTTGCTATCTAAAGTATTTGATTTAAAATATATCAGCTAATTGATTAACAATATCAACTTTAAGATAAAATTTCAAAATTTGCCAGACATGATACATACATACATATGATTAGGAATACAGAGTTTGGGATGAATGAAGAAATAGGATGAGATGTCATAGGAAGAATCTGAAAAACCCGCTAGTTTAATAAAATCTTGTAAAAATCTATTGGATAAGAAGGGCATGTAGATATAAAATTACTTTTATAGAGAACCTACATTACATGCTAAGATCTAAAAACCATTAATTCTATGTCTATGCTATCGGTTCGTAAGTCTACGACGGAAAAGAGTTAGCTTCAGTAAGGTCAATATATTGATATAAAAGATACTGTATTGATTATTAAATATAGTTTAGTTTGCGGCTTATGTCTGACACCACTATACGTATGCATAAACAATTTTATATTATGTCGTAATTATTTTAATCAGGTAAGTTTATTAGGCTGTTGGTACTCCATATTACATTCTATTTATATTATAAATGTGAAAGTTTCTGGGGATGCATGTTTGTAACTCTTTCACACGAAGAATACTGAATGGATTTCGATGTTTAGTATGCTGATAATTCTAAGCCTGAATTAATAAATAATGAGTACATTTTATCTCACTAAACAGTTCGCAAAACACGACCACGCGGGTATTTAGTAGGCCGCTGATGGAAAGCTAGTTAGTAGCATAAAATTGAGATTCTTTGGAGTGAAAGGTTTTGTACTAAATAATATTACAAATTAAAAGAAATGCTAAGGCCAAAGCTAAGCAATAAATCATTCACGTCTTGATTTCTTTCATAAGTACAAACATTAATTTTAAGTAAGCTCATCAAACTTAAACCTGACAATGAAAAATTGTCTCCAAAAGGCTAGGGTTGCTGATATTGCTTTTTTTTAACTATTTTTATTCAAACATTGCTAACGAATTTATAAACTAAACAAAGCAATTTTAATACTTCTTGAATTTAACTTGCAAATGAAAATACAAATTTAAACTACCAAAACCGAAACGCTTTTCCCGTTAACAAACTAATACTATACGGACTTGAAACTTATATCCATTTAAAAAAAAAAAAACAAAAATATAATGTCTATAACTGAGCTAGCATTCTTGTCCAGTGCAAAATTAATTAATTGAACTTCGATTACGATACCTTATCCAAATCAATTATTACGCGCAATCGGATAGAATAATTAGTATTCCATGATACGAACTTAGTACCACTATTTTAAGTATGAATGCATAAAATAATTTTACATTACATGTTAACCATTAAAAGATATGATTAAGAAAAAAATCCCTCATCGGTTATTTGATTGTAACATAGTTGCATGCAACATAAAGCATAATCGATTAATTGTCGATTTTTATGTAATTAATACATTGAATTATATCACAGTGATAGACACTGATTTATCTAACATATAAACTTTGCAATGATCACGTAACAGATGAGGGTTTACGTATACCGTATACCGTATCTCTAACTATTCTATAGTAATAATATTCTCTGCTATCTCTGCGGACAGATTCGCCTAGCAGATAGCTTGGATGCAAATGAAGTGATTAGATATTAATAAAAGGAGAATGATCAAAGGCTTTCAGCTAGTTGCACAAACGTCCATTAAATTTCTCATTTGTTTAAAGCGACATCACCCATACAATTTTGACATTCATTAGAGCTTAAAGGAGTCATTAAACCTAAATGGATGTTTGTGCAACTGACCTTTTGTGTCTTGGCCCTTTAATCTTGCATGTCATAACTTAGCATTTCTATTAAATCACAAGTTTTATCATATGACTAAAATATAAGACTTGTGCTGCGTGGGTCCCCTTTATAAGATATGCGCTGATCAATTATCTGAATCAAACCAGAAAAGTTGTCAACGAGACTCCAGTTTTTTCTGCAATAAAAGCTTATAAATAAATTTGAATCTCAAAGTTAATCACCCTATCTTTCATATTATAAAACAAAACTAAACTAAGTACTTGGATTAAACCATTGGTCGCCTAAACCAAATTGACAACGATTTGGTCGTTTTTTTTTTCAAAAATTTGCAATTATTTCCTAATTGCCTTTATTTTTTATACAATTCGTAGTGGTTTGTTGTATGTTACAAATTTGGTATGCTACAATGAAAAACAAAGAAAGATACAGTGGCTTTTAATCTTTTCCACGTAACTATAATATAAAGCATTAATATCCCTGAGGAGATAAGTATTGATTTGTTTACAGGTGTACGTCGTCCTTTTATCGTTTTTGCAATGACAAAAACATTTACTCTGATTTTATCTCCATCAGCCGTCACCACGAGTTTGTCAACAAATCCATTATGTGGGTGCTGCTTTAGGGTCTACTTTAGCTCTTGAAAATGACCGCCCGCATAACTGTGATGTCATAGATTTTATTTAACGCTCACCAAACACTTACCAATTTGTATGGTAAGTGTTATTGTGTGAGCTGGGAGTTATTTTGGATGAGTTTCTTTCCTTGACAACCCTATTATAAAAATGATGTGTGATTAATCGTGGAATCATAGTGTGAAATACAGTCTGCACTGACATTTCCATATTCGATCTGAACCAGATGTTTTGCTAGACAGTAACTAATTAACTGTACCAACATAGATCAAACGATGTCGACTGATGACGTGAGAGCGCTTTGATTGATTATATTTGAAAGTAGGTTTGTATCTGAATGTAACCGATTTTGATTTTTTGTCCTAACTGGCAATTATCAAAACTTAGAACATTTAGTTAGTTGTAGATAAAATTATTCATAATATAATAAATTGTAAGTTTTACCTATAAGTCATTTCAATGAGCTACGTTCAATATTTTGGAAGATATCCACCTTTTTTCTATATAGCAACCTGGGAACTTTTGCTCGTCAGTTTATTAGTAT